GTCACAGACTGGGCACATTGGCCTTTAGGTGGACAGGAAGTCACAGTAAAGACCAAATACATTCTATGTGTAGTACAGGTGTGTACTGTGTGTGTGTTCTCTCTCTGCAGGTCTGTTTGACACTCATGGAAAAGTTCGTGATCGTTGGACTCCAGGTGAGTTTGACCTCTGACCTTCAGCCTCAGATCATAAAGGGTTAATTATTTGTCCTGTAATCAGAGATGTTGGATTGGTCAGACCTGACTACAAGAACAGGAAGAGACCAGGTGTTCAAACACACCTGACGTTACAGATCAAAGTCTGATCGACAGTCTGACGTTAGAAGAAGAAGAAAAGTTTCAGCCATCAGTCTCAGCTTTAAGGGTTAACGGGTGTATGAGGTCACCTGTGTATGATATCCTGTGTTACCTGTCACCTGTGTGAAAGCCGTCCTACTGTCCCCGTCTCTCACATGTCCTCCTGTCTCCTCCAGCCATCTTCCTCTTCGTCACTCTGGCGTCCATCTCTGCTCTGCTGCTGGTGACCTTCGTGGTCATCACGCTGAGACGTCGCGGTCTGTCTCGCCGTCCGTCTTCCATCAGGTAATGTTCACCTGTCTCAGTGCTGCTGATGTCACAGCATCAGTCTGAGGTCATCAGCAGAACACATTGTAAAGTTTGTCCTGAAGGGGGCGCCACAGGGACGCTCATGTTGTTTACATCACAGGGTTCCTCTGATGGACCGTCACCTGTAAGGGATGGAAGGATGGACTGATGAATGGATGAACAGATGAACTGATGAATGGATGAACTGATGAATGGATGACTGTATTGATGATATGTCTCTCCCTGCAGTGATAAGGAGGAACTGCTTCCAGAACCAGACGAGCAGTCATCTCTGGAGTCTCTGACTGTCCCAGAGAGTCCCAAACCGGACAAGGCCTGAGGAGAGGCCCTGCAGGGGCCCTGGGGCCCCACGAGGGGGGGGGTCCAGAGCATAGCCTGAGGCCCTGGTCTGATCCTGCTGTAATTCTCTTTAATAATAATAATATTAATAACATAGAGCTGTTGCTGTGGTTTTGGGTTTAACTTTCTTCCTGTAGCTCAGCTGATGATGATGATGATGGTGATGATTCAGTCTGACTTTAATTAAACTGTCATTAATAAGTCAGACCTGTGATTATTATTTTACTGTTGACTTCCTGTCTTTAATCTGTAACTAAAGAGATTTGTGTGTTTTTCTTAGTTCTTTTTATATCAGCAATATGAAGGTGTCACTTTGACCTCAGGTGACCTCTGGTGACCTTAGGTGACATCAGGTGACCTCAGGTGACCTTAGGTGACATCAGGTGACCTCAGACAGAAGTTTGATTCATTTTTATATTTTATAACTTTACCTTTTAAACGTGGGATCATATGAGCTGCACAGTGTCGCAGGGCAGCGTCTTAAAATCAGGAAGTGTCAGAGAAGCAGCAGAGATGTTCATTGAAGACTCCGTTTCCCATGATGCAACATGATCAAGTCTTTGATTAGAGTCAGGTGACCTGTTACAGTCCTGCTCCAGGTCAGACGTTAACACGTGGATCTTTAGTTTCAATTTTAAAGTCAGAATCTTTTATTGACCCATGGTGTGTTGATCATCAGCTTAAACTGACATTACATTTATTTTGACTTTTGTCTGTAAAATTCTGATGTTAATGTTAAGTTTTACTGTCAGTAAATGTAAAGATTATTGAATGATAATTTTGATCAGAGTTTCAAAAATATAAATATTTGATTGTGTTTTATTGATCCTCAGTGATGATTTGTTATTTTCTGACCTGAAAGAGAAGGACATGAAGTTTTAGTGTGAATCGGCACTTTCAGGTTTTACTTCCTGTCCTCAGTCACACTTCCTGTTCAGAGACGTCTTGTCTGATTTTAATATCATCTGTTGTTGATTATTGATTTTAATAAAGTGAAGGTCTCACCTGTTTATTCAATAAAAGTTTATTAACACGTCATGTTCCTGTTTGGATGATTCACACTGACACCGATCACGTCTCTGTTCATCTGATCAATAAATGACTTTACTGAATTCAAACGTATGTAAATATAAATATAATAATAATAATAATAATAATAATAAAATGTAAATATAAAT